CCCTCCCCACGAAAGTTGTAAAGTTCATTTTTCGACATAACCATTTGTATATGGGAAAGATAACTAATTCTTTACATGTCTACAAGAACATTCTTTCAAAGTAGCACTCTAAGCCTATAGTTTTCACAAAAATAGAGATAATGTAAGCTGTATTGCATTAAATAGATTGCCTCTCCTATAATTTAATATGAGAAAATAGAAACTGTAAATTTCATACAAATAGTTTTAACTATCTAATTTAAAGACACAAAAACAAATCTTCACACAGTATACACTGGTTGCTTATGTTGGCTTAGTAATAATAACAAGGTGTATTGTTTAACAATGAAAATAAATTATTTTAACAGGAAGCACCAAAACTCCTCTTGGAGATCTTTCTTTACATATGCCTTGGGGTGGAAACTTAAATCCTTAGAGATGAGCTAACATAACATGAAATCACCATAGTGTACTTGAACTACTCAGCATTAGGAAAAGGAACAGAATGAAGAGTTTATGATAGAGGAGCTAAAACAACTTTTAAGGAAAGGAGAGTCATGTATTACATTTTGTGGGCTTTATTATGTATCATTTTACAGTGGAGCAGCCTGATGTTCACATACCCACATCCCCTCACAAATTTCAACAGCATCAAGTGACTGATGGAAGAGTTTATTATTTATTTGTTTGTTTATCAGTCTCGTTTTTGTCAATTCCCAGTGAGAATTAACAAAAGGCAAGTTCTATACTTCCTTACACCTGTTTGGAACAGGAACAATCTCTGAGACAAAAAAAAAAGTGTCATTTCAGCGGAAGTAGTTCTTCTTCAGGGGTGAGCATTATTAGAACACAACTTTGTCTGCTTTTCTTGTTTCCCAAACTTTCCCAGTTCAGAATTTTCAGAAATGATAGCCTTTGATCTATAGTCACCCACTGTCTCACCTCCCTCAGTTGCTCTTAAGCACACCTGTCAGGCCGTTGATCGGCAGCCATTCCTGTCAATGCCATGAGCAACATTCATGACACTGCTGTCAATGGATGGTCAAGTTACAGTCCTCGTCTAGCTTTATGCTTTCTTCAATTAGCTCCCCAGAATGCCACAAACACTTAGTTCCTTTGTATCACAGCCAGTGACTCCAGTAATTTTCACTGATCACTTACCTTTCTAACCTCTAAACATTGGACCAGTTCCTCTTGGTTATTCTTCTTTCATCTATTCTCACTCTCTTGGCAATCTCATTCAGCCTCACATATTTATATATCATACTATGCTGGCAACAGTATACTTTGAGCAGGATTACTCACCCAGACTTCCATATATATAAATCCATCTGTCCACTTGAATTTCTTCTGGGCATCAAAATGCTGCTTAAATGTTTTAATAGATATGTCTGTCTCAAAAATTACCTCCTTCCACAATCTTTATATTTCAGTAAATGCTAATGTTTATCCTTCTATGGAGCTGAAAAGTTTTAGAGTCACTCTTTAACCCCTTCTTTCTTTTCTATCAGATGTTATACATCAGTCACTGCTGATATTTCCACTTTCACTGTATGTGCAGAATTGGATCATTTCTGACTACCCCACTGTTAACATCCTAGTCCAAGCAACCACCCTATTTTGCCAGAATTTTGCCTCTGCTTTCTTTGGTTTTTTTTTTTTTCATTATTTAAGTAGTTGCACATGGGAGTTGTCATTCAACAAAGCAACTTGTTGATATAGTGCATCTTGACCGATGTCAGCCCTTTTAACATTGTCAACCAACTCTCCCAGCCTATCCCTTGCCTCACTTTTCTTAATGGCCTTTTTAGTGGTTTTTATGTCTCTGGACTTTCCTCTTACCTTTGGAATCTCTGTTGACAATTTGGACTAGATTTTTCCTTGTCATTTATGAAGGGCCATCTTGTCCATTGTAGAATCTTTAGCAGTAGCTCTGGACTCTACCTACTTAATGTGAATGGTATATACAAGCTAATTACCTCACTACAACTTGTGACAAAAAAATGACTGCTTAAGGGGAAAAATTCACCCAGCTGAAAAACACTCCCTTCAGTGAATTTTCAACCTATCCATCAGAATGAACCTTTACAATATAAACTTCATATGTAATTCCTGTGCTCAAGGCAGACTAATAGATTTTCATCTTATAAGGAGAGAGAGGTACGGGGTCGTGGGGGGAGAAGGGAGAGAAGAGAGAAAGAGAAACAGAGAGAGAAGACAGGAAGAGTAGGAAGGAGGTCTGGGCAGAGGGAGGAAGGAAAGAAGAGACAGAAGGAGAGAGGGAGGATGGAAGGCGGAAAGACAGAAGGAGGGCGGGAGGGACAGAGGGAGAGAAGGCAGCAAAAGGGAGGGAGAGACCAAGGTGGGGAAAGAAGGAGGGACAATGGGAGGAAGGAGAATTGCTTCCGTAGTCTGCTAGATTAGATAATCTGCCATGTTTTCATTATACTTAGTCTTTCTTGTCTATGTCTCACCCTTACTTCATTGTGCTCTAGTCACAATTGCCTCTTGGTCCTTACAATATGAAATCTTTCATGTCAAAAACTAGGTACTTCGTTCTCTCTGACCATAGGCCTTGTCCCAAGAGACTGGGCTCAGATCTCCATTCCTTTGAGTTTTTATACATACACAAAAACATCCCAATGGAATCCAAGTGCCAGTGATACCTTGTCATTCTACCCCAGAAGGCTAAGACCTGAAGGAATTTGTTATAAAGCTAGATAGGCAGAAAAGTCCACAAAATTCCACCTCCAAATAACCAGCAAAGAGTTGGACTAAAAGAGTGGCTTTCAATCAAGAACACCTGCTCAGAGAATCTGTCTTGAGCAAAACTGATAGAAAGTTTAAAGCTTTGAGTTCAAGCCCCATTACTGAAAAGAAATAGATATATTAGAAAAGTGCCTGTGGCAGACACACAATAAACGCTTAGATTGCAAATGAAGAAAGGCAAGAAGTGTACAATAAACAGTTAGAAAAACTTGAAGGATCAAGGCAACCTCGGTTAACATCTAGAACAAGTCTATAGACATAATTAACAAAGACTGAGATGATTTCCACATAATTTTTTCAAAACATTGTCAATTAAAAGGCAAAATATTTCCATGCTCAGGGGCTTTATGTAGGAGATATTTTGAAAGCATACTTATAAATCCATTAATAGATATAGATATATAGAATAGTAAGAACTTTAAGGGAAATTTTACAAAGTACCATGGTACTTAGTCATATGAAAAGGAGTGGGCTGGGGTAAATCAAATCACTCAATTATATACACCACATGGTAGCTTAACAAGTAACAGTAACAGTGAACAAAGCCTTGTCTGCACATGAAAGCCTGCATGGCTTAATTGTGAGTGAAATAGAGGAGCAGAAATGCTTCCTGCTGCAAGCCAACTGAGACATGGGACCCCCTGAAGGTATAAATTGAGTTTCTCCACTAATTACTGGTCTGAAGGGGACCTAGAAAGATCCACATTTTATTTCTCTGGCTGAACTTGCAACATAAGCACTTGTGAATTTTACATTAGGGTCAAGCTGAGAAGTTCACACAGTTTTACCTGGACTAGATAACAGAGCCACCTCCCATGTAAATGAGGTCAGGTATTCCTTTTTTTGCCTTGGGTGACTACCAAGGAGGTTTCACTGTAACAGATTCTGATAGGAAAGTAAACAGAGAAAAGGAAAAGAGAAAAAGAAAAAAGAAAACAGAGCAAACACAACAGCCCCTACTTGAAATAAAATTTTGCCCATTGATTTTTATGAGTGCGTATTTCACTTTCAAAAAAAGCTTGGAATTTTATGATGCAACTGATTAAAATTGCATGACCTATCTGTAGATAACAAGATCAACTATTCTTTCTAGTTTCTGAACTATCCACTTATTGTAAGACCAATAAGCTACACAGCAGGCAGGTACTTTAATGAAAAAGGCCCAGTTCTCCAGGGAGGAGAACCTGTAGTTCAAACTAGCACTTTTGATCAAGTAAACAATTTATTCTTCCCAAGGAGAAGGACCTTTTGTTTGGGCCCTGATCAAAAATGCTCTTAGTAAAGAAGGGAACAAAAGACTGTTGTGATATAACAAATGTTCGGGAAGGGATAAGTAACTTCAACATTTTAATACATGAATGTACACTTTAATACATGTATTACATAGGCATGTATGTACAATGTTTTAAATCATGTATGTATACTTTCTTATATCCTAGAATGTCATCTTAGAAAAAGCAGCCACTTCATTCAAATTAAGATAATATATTAATTTGTTTATTCACCTGACAAACAGTTACTGAGCACATTCCTTTTGCAAAAGGAGGAAATGCCAAATACTCACAGAGAACACACTCTCCATTATTACCAATTTTCCTTTCTCTTTGCACTTCAATAACTGTAACGTGGAGCTAAAACTATAAGTAAACAAACAAAGTCTTTAGGATAAGTAATTCATTGAGATTAATATTTGAGGCCCAGGGATATATAGCTCAGTGGTGAAACTCTTCACTAGTATGTGCAAAAACACAGGTTTAATAACACTCCCCCCACCAGAAAAAAAAAAAAAAAAGAGGATTGGTTAAGAGGATCTACCTATGAGTGTCTTATCCAAGTAAAATATCAAATAGTTCTGGGAGTCATCAAGAACTGATTTGAAATACATGTGCCTTTGCTTACTGTCTGACAATTTCATGGAAGATGTTCTGTATTTACCCACATAGTAGCTACTCCTCCCCACAATGTAGTAAATGAAGAACAGAGCTTTGTGTTATCATGTGTCTGTGTATGCGCGTGTGTGTGCATGTGTGTCCCTAAATTTACATAATGCCTGTCTTAATCCCCATAAGCACTTACTGGATAGTCTCCAGAGACACTAAATCTTATTCAACCTCTTCAGAAGAAAATATACATGTGCTCATCATCTCAAAAAATACAAATCTCTGAATTTGCATGCTTCTGGATATCTCAAATAATGCAGGAAGAAGAAATCCCAGGAACCCTTAAAATAAAATAATCAAGAAAAATCTTACCTAGTTTTGGCAAGGAATAGGGCACTTTAAAGTAGTCTTCATAAAACTCTATTAATCTCTTTGTAATATGGAGAGCATAGTCCCCAGATCCTCTTCTGATGGCATCAGGTCTTGCGTATAACCGTACCTAGTTAAAAATAAAAAAAGTGCAATAGTTACTTTAGCCTTTCGGAGCTCAAGTTTGATTTTCCCCTGCAAATACAAATCTACACAAATTATTTCAGAGACTATGAAAACAAAATAAGATTCTTATTCATATATCGAAATGCACAGTAGCTAAACAAAACCTAACTTAAACAATTGAAGTAACGAGGTCATAATTCCACATTTTACACAATGACATGGAAGAGATTTATGTACCATCCAGAAAAATAAATATTCAAAGTTATCACTTACATGTGTTTGCTGGAGATAGGAAGGTAGAGTGGATTAGGATAATAGGTCTCTGGCTATGCTAAAAGTAGGCAAGATATGGTGCTCAGTGAGAGGGAAAATTCACAGTTTGTTAAAGACATGTGGTAATAACTTTGGAAGCATTACCAGACTGAGATATAGATATATAAATATACATTATATACATATACACATATGATTCCTTCTTTTTTAAGAATCAACTCATCTTACTCCCAGAATGCAAACTAGGGATAGAAAACATTTCATGTTCATAAGCAATCACCATACTGCATGGCTGTCTACAATGGCTCTTAACTTCAAAAATCAGCTGAAGCAATTCATATTTCTAACACAATCTGGATACTTAACATTGATTTTTAAAGCAAGCATAATAATTTATCTAGCCCTTGACCAAAAAAAAAAATGAAGTCTAAACCCTAAAGCAAGAAACATAAAACCGAACAAAACTAACAATTGTGCATGAAAGGTTAAAATGAGATTAGCTTTCATAGAGCTTCCATAAAGCTATCCAGAATCTTTCCTTCCAAAGGCTAAATCTATTTTTCACAGATGTGGTCCCTAATCCTCATATCAATTCCATGAATAAGAAGTATGTATTTTGTGCAGCAGCAGAAAGCACAGCAGCTTGGGAGTTGGAGTTTAGTCCTACTCTGCCACTAACTGAGCTGGGTGATATTGAACAAATTACTTAACCTCTTTGGGTCTCAAGAGGTGTCATTTATAAAGTGAAGGTCTTGGCCACCAACTGTTGCTAAAGTGTATTTCAGTTCTAAAACATGTAACTTCTGAACATATTTTACAGAGAAGGGAGTGAGTGTCCCCTTCAAATCACTACAAAAATAAATGGTTTACTCAGAATACTAAATGGATATATATTCAAGAGCAAAGCAAAGGAAGTTATAGCCAACCATAACATAAAAATTGATTATACAGCTAACTCACTATAGATACATAAGGAGAGCTGTAAATAATCAGAATGACTAGACAGTTGAGGAAACACATTCTGATTTTGTGTAGAAAGACAAATAATTCAGTAAGATATTTCACTCAATTCAGTAACAAGTATTCACTGAAATTATGAAATCACTTCTTTTCCCCAAAATTAAATCAAATACCTAACTTGGTTTGCAGTCAACCATACTTTTGGCTGGCAATATTATCGAGCCAGTCTGTAAGGAGAAACCATCTTCATTAGTAAAATATAACTTGATGAGAGGCAGTGGTTAAGATTCCACCCCCCCCCCACAGCAATTGTTTATAAACATGCAACATCTTAAATGAAGCCCCTAAGGAATAAAGCTTTAAAAAAAACAACTACGAGTGTTCAAATGATTTGATAAGGAAGTACCCTGCCCTCAGGAATGACCTTATATAAGAGAGTAGGAGAAGCAGGATAAAGAAGGATAATAATCCAATAATCCAAGCAAGGTTAAAATTTCAGCTAAAATCCTGGACTCAATCTCATCCACAGGAAGCTTTAAGGAGTGAAAACTTGCAACTTTGTGGTGCTCTGAGACAAGAGAAAGAGACTTCCATATCCTCACGTCCTAATCTTTGGCTACTGTCTGCCAAATAAAAGATATAAAATCCCAGGTCCTTCTGGTACTTGGTGCATCTGGGTGATGTACATGTCCACGGTGGAAGGAAGCCATTTGGAGAAGGTACCAGGCATGAGGTATTAAGAGCAAAGCAGTGGTGTTGTGTGTGGGTGGGTATATGAACACATCACACAGGAAAGGGCATCAAGTCTATGTTCCTATGCCCCAAGTCTCCTCTAAGGAGAATAATCATTCCCTAGGGCATTCATTCAATCAAATAATATTTGCTTGGCACCTGATTTGTATCAGAGCCTAGACTAAGCATTTTTAATTTAGAAATGAAAAATGTGTTCTCTAAACAAAGAAGGATACAAAGCATAAGTGATATAATGAAACACTGAAGGTATAATCTCCACTCTCAAAGGGTTTCTAATTTATTAAAAGGTAAATTAGATAATGATATATGCCACATAAATGATAAAATGAAAATGCCAAAGAGACCCTGAGGAAAAATAAATAGTTTTCAGAAAGTTAAAGGTGATCTAACTAGTAAACTCCTATTAAAATTATAGCTAGGCTGTGCATACTAGCAGCTCCTATAAGCCCCAGGAGGTTGAGACAGAAACATCACATGTTCAAAGCCAATCTGAACTACATAATGAGATTATCGCAAAAAATAATAAAAGAGAAACAATAACCAGAACTACTGAAATAGATGCTTCCAGGGTCACTGATTTTACTCTGAGGAACCATCATTGATCTGGGTAGAAGCACAGTCACATCCATCAATCAACTCTACCAGATAAAACAAACATAATTCAACCTGATTGTCTAAACTTCATGGAAATAATTCAAGGAAATGAAAAAAAGAACATGTACATGCTTAATGTAATGTCTTCAGTTCTTTTTCATTCAAACATATATTGTATGACTGAAAAATGCGTGCTCGGCATTGTACTGGGGAACAGAAATAGAACAATCAAATTCCTAGTATAAAATCAACAAGACATTTACACTTACTGCTCTTAAAAGGGTGGGAATATGTGGAAAACAAATAAAACAATAAAAGCACAATCTGAGAAGTTTAACAATATACAATGCCTGCCTAGCCTTGGCAAAAGAAATACAAAGCCAGCCAGATACCATTGGCTAATGTCTGTAATCCTTAGCTACTCAGGAGGCTGAGATCTGAGGAGTATGCTTCAAAGCCAGCCCACACAGCAAAGTCCATGAGCCTCCTATCTCCAATTTTGATTACTAAAAAGCCAAAACTAGAGTTGTGGCTCAAGTGATAGAGGGCTAGCCTTGATCTAGAAAGAACAAAAGAAAGGAAGGAAGGAAGGAAGAAGGAAGGAAGGAAGGAAGGAGGGAAGGAAGGAAAGAGAAAAAAGGAAGGAAAGAAAGAAAGAAAAAGAAAGAAAGAAAAAGAGAGAAAGGAAGGGAGGGAGAGAGGGAGGGAGGGAGGGAGGGATCAAGTAAGGAAGGGAGGAAGGAAAGAAGGGAAAAGAGCCAAATCCTCTACATTCTATCCCTTTTTGCCTCTGCAAAGACATCTTTTCAGCACAACTGTTTATTGCAGCATTATTTACCATAGCTAAGATATGGAACCAACCCAGTTGCCCCTCAGTAGATGAATGGATCAAGAAAATGTGGTATATATACACAATGGAATTCTATGCCTCCATCAGAAAGAATGACATTGGCCTATTTGTTAGGAAATGGAAAGATTGGAAAAAATTATATTAAATGAAGTAAGCCAGGCCCAAAGAAATATAGGTCCCATGGTTTCCCTTATTTGCAATAACTAGTATGTCTGAGACAAGCAGAAATGGTCAAATAAGTGGATGTTAGGCAAAATGAACCCCAAGATAAGGACTCAAATGTTTTTTTCTTTCTTGGTATTGTTTCTAACACATTTATAAGATTATTTCTTTGTTGCTTTGTATGTCCCTCCCCCACGGTATAATTCCTGTTTTCACTGTATTTGATGTTGATAAAATTTGTGGAGGGGAAGGGAAAAAACAAAGTGTTTAAATAGGGATACAGGTGGACCCATTGCAACAATGAGATGTAGAAGACAAACTTTACAACTTTGGCGCGGTGGGGGGAAAGGGGACCGCGTGGGGGCCGCGGGAGATGGGAAGGGATGGTAAGGGGAAACAAAAGTGAAGGCAATAATGCTTGATAAGAAATGTACTCATGGGGTTGGGAAGGTGGCTCAGTGGTAGAGCACTTGCCTTGCATGCATGAGGCCCTGGGTTCGATTCCCCAGCACCACATAATCAAAAAGAAAAACGCCGGAAGTGGCGCTGTAGCTCAAGTGGTAGAGCGCTAGCCTTGAGCTGAAGAGCTGAGGGACAGCGCCCAGGCCCAGAGTTCAGGCCCCACGACCGGACGCCCCCCCCCCCCAAAAAAAAAGAAATGTACTCATTACCTTGCTCATGTAATTGTAACCCTTCTGTACGGTATTTTCACAATAATAATAATAATAAAAGAATGAAGGAGTACCTGGCAGCCAAAATGCTAGTTTACCTAGGACATTTGCTATTTGTGTTCTCTATAGCTAATATGACTTAAATTCCATTTCAAAAATGGTTTTGTTATTACATTTCTTGATTCTAACTGGGGTGAAGTGGAATCTCAATGTTGTTTTGACTGGCATTTCTTTTATGGCTAGAGAAGTTGAGCATTTCTTCATGTGTCTTTTGACCATTCTTATTTCTTCTTCAGAGAAGTCTCTCTTTAACTCTTTAGCCCACTTATTAATGAGGTAATTGTTTCTTTGAGGATTTGTTTGTGGATGATTAATTTTTTGAGTTCCAGGTATATTTTAGATGTGAGACCCTTGTCAGTTGTATAGCTAGTGAAGATCTTCTCCCAATCTGTGGGCTTTCTATTGATCTTGCTAGCTATGCCCTTTGCCATGCAGAGGCTCTAAGGGATGTGGCCAAAGGGGAACCCTACTACACTGATGGTGGGAGTGTAAACTTGTTCAACCACTCTGGAAAGAAGTATGGAGGTTCCACAAAAGACTCCACATAGAGCTCCCCTATGATCCAGCAATCCCACTTTTGGGCATGTACCCAAAGAATCACAAACAAGACCAAACTAAAGCTACCAGAACAACTATGTTTATCACAGCAATATTCACAATAACTAAGATAAGGAACCAGCC